AGGTCATTCGCTCAGCCATGGCAGCGCAGCTCTCGGATGGGCGCGTCCGTCTGAACAGCGCATCTCCGTCACCCGCGGACCGGCCGCTCTCTCACTCAGCCTTGTATTGTGCCGTCATTCGATGTTGTTGAACAATGCAGTGCAACGCTACTATCCCTGAAGCAACACGGTCAACTCGATTCACAACGTTTTCGTTGTGACCTGGATTCGTGTTTGTTGTTTTGCATATCAGACTTAAATGACGTCCTATGTCCCGGCACTCATCACTTGCTCCCTCTCAGAGAGCAGGGTCTTCTTCGGAATGGAGGCTATTTATCATTCAATAATTCTGTTTGAGCTGTTGCGAAAGGTTTCACAGCAATAAACCGCGACGTAAACCACAACCTCCATGTCCATGAACCTCACAGTAAACCGCTTAGAGTTTATATTTCGCACAACTACAGAGCCGAAAGTAAAGAAACGATTTCTCAAATTTCGAAATAAAGCAATGAACGCTAATTAATGCTTCTATCACTTGCACACACTTGCAAATCTACGGTTATCACACACATAAGCATACGCACACACAAAAAACACTCAAACTAACAAGCAAACATACACGCATAGGTGCTTACCGTCCAATCATGCAAAAGGTTCCCCTACAAGAGGTGCCTGTGAAGAACAAAAGTCGACGGTGCAAGTAACTGAAACGCGACGCCCCAGCACGTTATTTCTAAATCGATGCAACTCGAAAGTTGCACCAATCACGCTATAATCATCGCCTGATGAGCGCATCCCTCATCCCTCCCTGCTTTCTATGTTGAGCTTCCGCAAGGATTCTGGCAAAAAAAAAATAATAATAATAAATAAAAAAAACGACTTCCTTCGAAGTCGGAGTTCTTCCTACAGAGTTCAACGACAATACTTTCTCCTCCTGAAGGACCCTGGCGTACTTATAAGAGCAGATGTTTTCTGGCCTGTAAGAAAATAGCAAAGGATGTCTTGATTCCCGAATATGTGTTGAAAGATTACCCAAAGGCCCTGTAAGCAGAAAAACAAAACGTTAAAGATAGGCTACAATAACGGAAACAACATAAAGAAACACAGACTAGTATCCACATACCATGGCTAATGGAAAACAGATCGTTAAAATAGAAGATATCGATAAACTAGATAGGAACATGAATAACTAGAAAGAAATCTGCCTAAGAGCGAGTCAGCTGTGGCCGTCTGTAATTACGCAGTGCCACGGTGGAGGCGCAGTGACGGTCCCTTCCTTCCTGCTTCGCAGAAACTATTGAAGGAGGCAGACAAAAACGTCCGTGTTTAAAATTTCTCTTTCTTTCTTTGTGACCAAAACTAACTGATCAACTTCATGAAGTTAACGTAACACGCCATGCAGCTAAACTAACCATCACTACAGCTCGGTTTCTCGAGGTCACATAAAGGTTTCTAGGAGGTCACGCGGAGGTCAAAAGAGAATTATCCGCCATCAGCCCGCAACGTGTCTTCCTGTAGGGGTTTCCTTAGATATTACTCTCAAGATTCCGTTAAACAACTCGGAAAAAAATAGTGTAGATTCATGTCTACATCCTCCATAGCTGAGAGCCTCGCTAATTTAAAGGTAGCCGACAACCAACCTTACAAGAATATCGTTGAAAAAATTAATCATATGTAAATATCAACTGTAATTCTTCGAGAAACACATGGAAGGCGCCTATAGCTAATTCTCCATCTATCTATCTATCTATCTATCTCCTTCTATCTCTCTCCTTCTCTCTCTCTCTCTCCTTCTCTCTCTTCTTCTTCTTCTCTCTCTCTCCTTCTTCCTCTCTCCATCTCCCCTACTCACCCACTATATCTCTCACTCTCTCTCTCAATCTCTCTCTCAATTTCTCTCTCTCTCTCTCTCTCTCTCTCTCTCTCTCTCTCTCTCTCTCTCTCTCTCTCTCTCTCTCTCTCTCTCTCTCTCCTCTCTCTCTTCTCTCTCTCTCTCTCTCTCTCTCTCTCTCTCTCTCTCTCATCTCTCTTCTCTCTTCTCTTCTCTATCTATCTATCTTTCTCTCTCTATCTATCTATCTATCTCTCATTCTCTCTCTCTATCTCTCATTCTCTCTCTATCTCTCTATCTCTCATTCTCTCTCTATCTCTCATTCTCTCTCTATCTCTCATTCTCTCTCTATCTCTCATTCTCTCTCTATTCTCATTCTCTCTCTATCTCTCATCTTCTTTCTCTATCTCTCATTCTCCTCTATCTTCTCATTCTCTCTCTATCTCTCATTCTCTCTCTATTCTCATTCTTCTCTATCTCTCATTCTCTCTCTATCTCATTCTCTCTCTTCTCTCATTCTCTCTCTATCTCTCATTCTCTCTCTATTCTCATCTCTTCTATCTCTCATTCTCTCTCTTCTCTCATTCTCTCTCTATTCTCATTCTCATTCTCTATCTCTCATTCTCTCTCTATCTCTCATTCTCTCTCTCCATTCTCTCTCTATCTCTCTTCTCAATTCTCTCTTATTCT